TGTTTATAATCTATTTTTTTAAACAATATTTAATCTATGAATTACAATACCATGAAACATAATTAAATATGACCAAGGAGTTAAAGGCTTTATTATTTTTTCTTTTGAACATAATTCAATAAAGTAAAAAAAAATCATATATCTTATAAATAATGTGATTTCAAGAAATGGAAGAGTAAGAATATAGTGTATGATTACTTAAATTATACATTATTTTTATAAGGGTATACTTTTTGGTTGTATTGTAGGGAGCATATAATAGAACATACAAAATTGTAAGATATCACCTTGCAACACTCCAAACAGAGTGATTTCTTGCAACACTCCAACCAGAGTTCAAGAAATCACTTCTTTTGAAGATCCAATTTAAAATAGGATTAATAATGCTTTTGGAGTTTATTAATACCATAAAATGAAGCACTTGTTGCATGAAAAGTAAGAATTTAAGCAAATAAAGAAAGAGACTTCATTGATGATGAAGAATGAAGATGAAGATAATAAAGAAGATAACATTAATGATTAGTGTAACACCCTCAATTTTATTGCCTTTATTTTTGAAAATATAGGAATTTTGGTGTAAGATTTCTTGCTCAAGCGAGATAGATTTTTCTGAACCAAGCATTTTGGGCACTCTTACTCAAGCAAGATAGGTCTAGTTCAAGCAAGAGAGCATAATATACTTAAACTATCTTCTTGATCAAGCGAAAAGTGGCGCAACCAAACAACGAATTGCAAAAAAAATGAGGAACTTTCTAGACCTATTCTCACTCAAGCAAGAATATAAAAATTGGATAAAACTTTTGTTTGATTTTCTCGCCTAGGCGAGAGTTAACCTTGCTCAAACTACTCACTCAAGTGAAAATGAGTGAATTTGGGAGGTATTTAAGAAACTTCTATTCTAGAAACTTTCATTTTACAACCAAACAACTTTTCCTCTTATTTCTCTCTATTCTCTCACCTTTCCTTCTCAAAGAAAACTCTCCCGAACTTCAAACCTCTTCTAGATCTGAGCTTGAATGTCTATTTCATTCAAATTCTAAAATATCTTAGTCTTTCATACAAATTTTTTAATCAAAAGCGTTGTATATCTCCTTTGAACCTTAAGGAGAAGTTAATCTTAGAGACATATTTTCAGGTAAAGAGAATTATTCTTGAACCCTAACTTCTATTTATGTGTTTTGGATTAAAAATCTTAATTTTTCTCATTAAAAATTCATAGAACCATAATGTTTCTTAAAACCTCAATGTCAAATAGTATTTTAAGCATAAAAAATGATGATTTGTTTTGAAAAATATTTAGATAAGATTTTTATAGCAAAAGTTATAAGCAAAATAAGTTTTTAAGAAATTTTTATGATTTGGTTATTATTATGTATGTACAGAAAATGTTGGAATGTTATCCTAAATAATATGTGTTGGAAAATGCTAAACTTTAGGATAGACAATTTTTATTAAGACCGAGAGAGTGTGATATCTAGCAGTATATTAGTAGTTTACTTTCAATATATGTTAAACTGCACGATTGGTTCGAGTCTGAGGATATCTAACCTTTAGCACATTGTATTGATTTGTATGGTGTGAAATTGATGGATAACATATCTGTGTTAGAATGATATGATACAATAAGTGTGGATCTTTGTTTGGAAATTGATGTATGTTGAAAATTAATGAAAAGTGTTTGATTGCCCTCGAATGATAAAACATTTTATTAGTCAAAATTATGGATAATGGACCAATGTAAATGGGTGTGAATGAGAAATTTAACTTGTTTTGCTATCAAAGTATCAAGAGAAATGCTGAGAAAATGAATGTTATAAGAAATATTGATACTATGTATAAATAGTTATAGATATATACTGGAGTATAGGGTCCGAAGATGATTTGGAAAATCTTTGAGAAATGAGGATAGTGAATGCTATTTGTAAGTGGGTGTACATGATTTCTTGAAAGTGAAAGCATCATAGGCCATATATTTATATCTTGACTAGACTCCTGACTATACATTTGATGAAAGGGTCTAAGGGACACACGTTGCAGCGGTGTTGTTCGAGCTAACTAGCAACTATCTATATTCATGGAAAATATCAAGAGATCTTAGGGGCAATGACTGTAAAGTTGTGAGATGTATAATTGTAATATATGAGTCATAACAAATTGATTGGTGTGATAATAATACAGGTATTATAATACATCAACAAGTGTAATTATAATACATGTATTGTAATGCATTGATTAATATGATTATAGCACATGTATTATAAGATATTGCTTGATGTAAGAATATATGAAATGATATGAGCATAGTGTATGATTGAAAGTACTGATTATATGATTATTATCATGTTTGAACTGCTATAGAATTTGTTAATATAATATATGAGTTAACATTATCTTAGTGCATATTGTATTAGATGAAATTTCTGTGTTACATGATTTATTTATAAAATAACAGATTTGGTTGGACGAGAATACTCACTTTTTGAATTATTTTTCAAGAAATGAAATTAAGGAGTAAAGGCAAGTTGATTCGATCTAGAATCATACTCTTAGTGAGACTATAAGGAATATTTGCTCTGATAATATTTAGATTAATTTGAGAATTGTAATAATTTTGATTAAGTTCTATTTTTAACTGAGAAGAGTTTGTAAATATTTTTTTTATGTCAATTTGTTTTGAATTTGTGATATTCAGTTAAATTATATTGTAATAAGTAGTTTAAAGTATTTGTAATATTGATAGTTAGTTAATTTAATTATAGTTTACATTTTATTTTAGATAAAAAAAAATTTCCTACTAACCAGTAGAGTTATTTACAGTTTAAATCTAAATATATGTGATATAAACTTTAGTCTGCATTCTAATTTTTATGAATGTAAAAATTTAAAAATTATTTCTTTTAAAAATTTAAACACCTTTAATTTTTAATAGATAAAATAAATAAATGTAAGTTTTTCTTTTTCACTTAAAGTTTTTAGCTATAAATATTAAATAAAATTATTTTATTTTTTCTTTTTTCATTATAAATTACTATAAATATTCGAGATAAAAAATAAAGATGTTATAATTAGCAAATAATGAGAAGAGATAATTAACATAATGATTTTGAATATGAAGGTTAATATGAGGATCAAGAAGAAAATAATTAATATTTTATCGTAATAGTTGATTTGAATTAAATGGATGATATTATTATAATATTGTATTTTATATATTAATGAAATCTATTAAAAATAAGTAACATAATGCATGTTTTGGTTGAACTTATAGGAGAGAAATCTAGGACATATGAATTTTCTTATTTAATCCTTTATGTTATTTTTTTATTTAATTATAAATATGATTTTCTTGTGATTACCAATCATTCATACAAATACTATCAATACCCAATAGTCATGTGATACTAATATTCTTTTATCTAAATTAACATCCACAATAGTCATGCAAGATATCAATTCAAGAAAATATAAAACTTTTATGAACTTGTTAATTTAATAATGATTGAAAGAGAAAGATTAATTTGATCCACCTAATCCTTTATCTTGTTTTATTATATAGATTCATTAACCAATCGAGGTACGATCGTCTAACGATATAATTAATTAAGGTTATGTCAAGAGTAGTTAATTCACAACATACAATTGTGCGCAATAAGATCAACACTAATCACAGACGAAAATTAAACTTAGATTCAAATGTCAAAATTTCAGAAACTCGTGAACAAGAATTTTCATAACCCTAACTATGGACTTGGTTACTTATGCTAAAGGAAAGAACTAAAATAATTATAAACAAAGTCATATAGAAAAATAAACTTGATTATCTCTAGAGATTGAGGATGAAAAGTGTTCTTAGGAGGATGTATTGGTTTAGGATTTTATAGGATTTTAAAAGATTTTTTTAAGTAAAAAAGTCTGTTGGTATTTAATCAAAATTTTATGTCACTTAAAAATAATTCAGTGGTATTCAATCTGGATTTTCAAAATTTTTTAAAAAGTTCATTAAAATCCATTGGTATTCATTTGAGACTTTTTATAACTTAAAAATAATCCACTGATGTTAAAAAATTATAAACATTTTAAAGGATTATTGTATTAGAGGGATTTTGAATAAATTTTTAGTGGTATCTATAAATACCAAATTCATAAAACAATATCATCCAAACCCATCAGATTTTGAAGGATTGTTTGAAGTGACTTTTTAAGTGCTTCAAGAATTTATAGGTGGGTTTTTCATTTCTTTTTTTTCTATGTTTCTGTCTTCTCCATTTTTTTTCTCTGCTAATAATATTGTACCACTATTCTCATTCCATTCTCTTATTTGGTGAAAACGTAAATGACAGTGCCATTGACTTTCTTTATTTAGTTAAGTTTGTTCCTCAGATATATAATCCATAAAACACTTGAAATTTTAACTTTTAAGTAATATTTTTTTTATAACACGCGTCAAAAAAGGGAAAGGTGAAAGGTGAAATTTATATATCATGAGCTCTACAATAACTATAGATCTTCAAATAGTTAACTGGAAAATTTAACTGTTGAGTTTGAGATATTTGTTTATACTATATAACATTTTTTTAATTGAATAAATAGATGTTTAAATATCTAAAATATAAAATAATAATGTATATCCTATATATATAACAATTAAACATTTTATGGGACTATAGTATTATTTTTAATTATATGAGGATTCCGATAATTGTTACATGGGAAATGACTATATACACCGAGCATTAAACTATGATCCTACAATATTTCAATAAGTTTATAGGATGTATCTAGACGTGTTTCGAAAGTTATGTGCAATTCTTAGAGAAAAAACACTTCTAGATGATATAGGATATATTTGTGTTGAAGAAATGTTTGCATCATTCCTACAAATTATAGGTCAGAATACTCGATATTGTGTAATTTGTAACACATTTGACTGATCACAATTTTCTATAAGCGAAAATTTTTACAAGATTTTGAAGGCTTTGAATACGATAACACCTACTTTGATGTCTAAACCAAGATCAATTGTGCCAGTTAAAATTAGAGAAAGCACAAGGTTCTTTCCTTTCTTCAAGGTATGTACTAATTATCTTACAATAAAAATTATAATTAAATTTAGCACTATTATATTTATATTTTTCATACGATGAAGTGTTATATATGCTAAATTTTAGGATTGTATTAGAGTTGTTGATGGGACACATAATCTAGCAATGGTGAGGGGGCGAAATGTAAGTAGTTATCGTAATCGTCGTGGAAAGATATCACAAAATTTAGTCGCTTGTAATTTTGATTTGGAGTTTATGTACGTTCTTAGTGGGTGAGAGGGTTCGGCTCATGATTCTATGCTACTAAATGATGCTATAACAAGGAGGAATGGACTTAAAGTGGCTTAAGGTCAGTGCTTATTTTTTAAATAATAATAATAATAATTATTATTATTATTATTATTATTATACTAATAATATATATATTGCATATATAATTAGGTAAATATTTCTTGATGCATTGTGGATTTCCTAACCGATGCTAATTTTTAGCTCCATTTCGAGGTGTAAGATATCATCTACAAGATTTTGCAGGTCAGGATAATAATTCTAAAAATGAGAAAAGGTTGTTCAATCTTCGCCATGTGTCTCTAAGGAATGTGATTGGGAGAATATTTGGAATTTTTAAATTAAGGTTCACAATTTTTAAGTTAACACCTCTATTTTTATTTAAGACACAAGTAGAACTTATGTTAGCATGTGCAATACTACATAACTTTCTTCGTAAAGAATGTCGTTCTAATAAATTTCTAATTGAACCGATGGATGAACATTCATCTTCAACATTACCGGTTAATGAATATCATAAGCCTATTATTCAAATTCAGGAGGAGCAAGAGCGTGAATAAGCTAATTAATAATTGGCTGGTCAAGTTCTGGAGATGAATCACTCTTTTTGATCTTCTCCTTGCCTTGTATCAACCAATTCAGCTGTTGCACTTAGAAATTTCCTGCAAACACTTAAAACACAACAAAAATTATTAACCTAAGCTATTAAATTCTCATTACAATTGATATTAACAATTAATCCCCGGTAACAGCGCTAGAAACTTGATACAATCTTTGGCAAGTGCACCAAATTGTTGAAGTAACAAAAATAGATTATCGTCCTCTAGGATTAATGTTAAATATCAATCCACAAGAATGGTACTATTTGGGTCACCAAAACAGTGTATAAATAGCACAAAAATTAACAAGTGCAAAATTGTAAAAATATAATTAAAGTGCAGAATTAAAACTTGGAGCAATAAACAAAATAACTACAAAAAGTAAATTTAGAATAATTTCAGAATTTAAATGTCTTAATTATTGGAAGTATGTCTAAACACAATTAAAAGACAGGTTGATTTCAGAATCCGTTATCCCTTTCTCTTTGCATACAAATATATTTATAACTCAAAACACAACTTCTCTAATGGTCAGATTTTCTAAAATACCCAACTCCAATTCTTTGGTAATTAGTTCTAAAATGAAATTAGCGTCCTAATTCCTTAGATACAACTAAAAACATTCAACATTAAGAATTATACCCATTGACCACATCATCATGAATTTCTATTCCTAGATAATTTATAATGAGAAAATTAATCCCTATCCAATAAAGCTTACTACTTTCCAGCAATAAACCCCTTTTCATTAACCCCATTCGCATAAAATAAAGAAGCATTAAGTTCAGAATTAATATGTTAGAGAAAGAAGGTGTCTTGAGCTATATCCAATGTTAGTTCATTGCAAAACGTATAGGTATATGTTTATCCTCACTCAATCCAAGGAAATTTAGCTAAACATTATGAAAGGAAATGAATTAAAACTGAGATATATTGCAGAAACAGAATTCATAGTCATAGAAAAGCTTATAGTCAAATGATAAAATGAAAGAGTTACTGTTCTATTAAAAAATCAAAGAAGATGGAAAGGAAATCCAAGTTCCCATGAGAATCCTTCTACCAAGATGTAAGGAGTTTGCCCTAGTTACCCTATTCTACGTAAAACTATATGAAAACCTAGAAAATCGTGCTCTAGAATGTTTTAAAAAAGGAAAGATAAAAGATGTCAAGCTCTACCTTTTCAAAAAAAATTCGCTTTTATATGCTCAATCAGCATCTTATCCCCACAATCAGGAATATGTCTCCCTACAAATGAGTCCTACAGCACTCATCTTTAGTTCTTTAATTCCAATTGCAATTTTCTTTCTAATTCCTTCAAAATAAAACTGCCAGCCATCAGAATATGAGTGATTCATGAATTTTTCAGCAAATACAACATTCCATTGAATTTCTCAATTAATTGCATGAACTTATAATTTAAATTCAATGAAATATGCCTAAAAGCCTTAAATTTTCTAGATGAGTTAGTGACTCATCACCAATGCTTAGAAGATTAGTATAGCTATGGATATGTGGGTGAATACTATTTAGGAGAACATGATATTACGGAGAATTATTATTATTATTTATCCATGCATTATTATTTTTTATAATTTTTATCTTTGACTTTTTTTAAACTTTGAATGTATGAAAAAAAAATCTTGAACTCTTAATGTCAAAATTCATTAAAATCCTGACTTAAAAGTCTTGCAGAATCCATTAAAATCCTGATTTTAAAGTCTTGCATAATTCTGGAAAGTCTTAAAAGTCATGAAAATCCTGCAAAGTCCTTTAAAATCCTAATATAATACACCCCTTTAGTCTTCAAGTACGATCCGTTGAAGCTTTAAGTTTCGCTAGTGCTCAATTATAAGGCAACGAGTCTAAAGAAAATTCCAATGCGTTATTCCTTTTCGTGTTGTCCCTTTTAGATAAGTATATCACAATATTTTAAAATTAATATTTTTATATTTTTTTAAATTAAAAAAAATCTCACTTGAAAATTAATATTTAAAAAAAAGTTAAAATCTTAATCGTGAAAGAGTATGAGAGAGTGAGAGAACTCAAAAAACTAGCTTTAGAAGGGCTTTGGAGGGTTTAAATAAATCTCCAAAACTTTTTTCTCCTAATTAAGCAACTCGTAAATAAGAGTTAACCCCTCCTAATTATTCTCTTCCTTTCTCCTCCATTTCTAAACTCAACTCCCAAATATAGCCTAAGAATTTGAACATATAAGAAGTCCAATTGAAGCTTATAAGAGTTTTGTAGATTTTCAATGCTAATTATAAATCCTAATTACTCAATACCTCATTGTTTCTGTTTTAGTTTTTAATTTTTACAAATTATATTTTAGAATAATTTTTAAAAATTATTTTTGAAAAAATAAAAATAAAAATAAAAATTGTTTGTTAGTTTAGTTTTTGAAAGTGTTTTTAAGATGAGAAAAAAAAACTTGATTGATAAATTTATTTTTGAAAATAGATTTTAAAAATTAAAAAAATGTGTTTAGTTTTATTTTTTTTAAATTAAATGAATATATAAATATATATTTTTAATATTTAATTTTAATATTTTTATTTAACTAAATATATTTTTATATTTAAAATAAAATATTGAATTAAAAATTATTAAAACATCAACTAATTAATATTGAACTGAAAAAATTCTTATTTATAAAGTAATACTTGTAATTAGTTTAGAATTTAATAAATTATAAAAATTATAAAAATTATAAAATATAAATTAATATTAAAATAAAACATAATGATTAATTTTAAAATGAAAATATTTTTATTAATAAATATAAATAGTATGAATAGGTAATATCACAAAAAAAAATACTTATATACTAAACTATATAAATATATATATACGTGTATATATATATATATATATATACACACAATATTTTTAGCTATTTTAGAAAAAATAAAATCAAAATATCTTAAAAGCTATTTTTATTTTTAAATTTTAAAACTGAAAATAAAAATTATTTTTTAAATTTATTTTTAAAAATTTAGATTTACAAACAAATTTTTATTATTTTTTATTTTTTAAAACAAAAAAATATATTTAAAAATTGAAACAAACATAATCTTTATTTTTCTTTTTGTCAAATCTCAATTTCATAGTTTTAATAACAAAAAACAATTATACCGAGAAAATAATCCTAAAAGTAATGGGCTTGGCATCTCAGATAACATGGGCTCTAACATAGACGATTCGCCTCAGCTTGACCAAATCTGCCAAGGACATGAGATGCTAGAATATTCATCACATCTTTTATTTCAATAAAATTTATTTTTTAACATTTAAAGTGAAATATTTTTTTGGTATATATTTTTTACTTTGGAGAATATTTAAACTGAGTGTATATGAAAAAGATAAAAGATAAGAGAAAATAAATAGAGATAATTGCATATGACATTACATACACCATTATTTTTTAAATGTTTAAATTACAAAATTGAAAAAAAATAATAATAAATGGCTACATCCATGTAGGGGTGTACATAGAGATGGTTTATCTTTACTTTTACTCAGTCCGAAATTTTAACATTGTAATTTTTTAATCATGAAACCAACTCGATGTATATATCAACTAAGTATTATTAAGTATATCTAAATAATATGATTAAAAAAGTTATAAAAATAAAATAAAATTATATTTCATAATTCATATTTCAAAATAAATAATATAAATATATTATTATGATGGGTTAAAATATTATTTCTTAAGTCTTAAATTTTATTATTAATATAAAATATTTTAAAATTAATATAAATTTTAAAAGAATACGAAACACCGGATTGAGTTGAAATATCCAAAACATAACCTGAACTCATTTAAAATATACTTAGATTTAATTTTAAAAACTCAAACCCTTTAAAATTAATTTTAAGTCTGTGGAATGAGATGGGTCATAAATTCCCATATTTTAGACAAAAACGTGATTTATTTTGGCAATGATTTTTGAAAAGTTAATTTTATTGGATGATTCAATGTAAAATTAATTTCAGACACAACATCATCACAAAAAGACGTGAACATAATTAAACTATTGTAAATGAACCTTCTTCTTCAATAACATCACGACACAATCTCTTTATCTATGTTCCTAACTCGTAAATCTTTAGTTTAATTCTAAAAGTTATAAGTGTCGCTCGTTCATAACTTTATAAACTTTTAATATACTTATTAATTTTGTAAGAATATTCATTGCAATTTATTTTATTTTATTTTTCATTGTTGTTTTACGATAAAAAGCATTAAAATAAATATTATTTTATAAAGTTAGTAATTAAAATAATAATTTTATAAAATTAAAATAAATTCTTAACATGAATTTTTTTATAAAAAAAAAAATATATGCTCATTAGCTGTCTTCAATGACCTCAGCAAATAACGATTTGAGAACTAAGCATGGTGGAAATCGTTTCATGCATTAGCAACTATGGAGTTACGTAGAATTTACGATGGTG